TCTATCAATAATTTTGCCCGCAAGGCAATGGAATGTGACATCATCTCCTCAAAAAGGCATATGGGCGAGGCAATGGGATGTGACTTCATTGCCTCGACCAAGAAGATGATGGAGACAACATGTTTCAATCAGGGACGGAGCCAGCCCTTCAAAATATGGGGGTCCCTAAGTTGAAGGGGCGGGGGCTCATAGGGGTTCGAGGGCAGTGCCCCCGAAATTTTTTTTTGAAACATTATTTTTTAAAATGAGGAAAGTTGGTACTTTGTGATAGAAAAATGAAAAAAATGAATATAAATTAATGTACGAAGATAATAATAAAATTTGAAGGCGTATATGTTTTAATAAACTAAAATGGACCATTTTTAGCTAGGTTTTATTAAGGATGGCAACGGGATGGTGGGGATTGAGGTTTCCATTACCATCCCCGTCCCTTGGGATTTAGTTGGGGCATAGATTAAAAATTCTCATTTACCGTCCCGTTTAATTAATTATTTATTTATTTTTTAATATCGTTTTTCATTTTTGCATTAGATTGAAAAATATATAAATATAATAAAACAAAAGAGTTGGTGTGGTTCGAGGATTTCAGGGCGGAAACAATGTTCCCTATCCCTGCCTTGTTACTAGTCAGGGTGAGGCAGAGAATTTTTTCGTTCTTAGAATTTACTTGAATTGTAAAAAATATATGTTTATATTCTACATTTTGTTTTAGTTTATAAATTAATGAGTTTCTATCAATAATTTTGCCCGCAAGGCAATGGAATGTGACATCATCTCCTCAAAAAGGCATATGGGCGAGGCAATGGGATGTGACTTCATTGCCTCGGCCAAGAAGATAATGGAGACGACATGTTTCAACATAGTAGCTTTAGAAAGAAGGTGCTTGCGTGATATTTTATTTAGCTGACACTCACGTAGTCTACCAGGTGTAACATAAATGATGTCGTCAGACACATCAAATCAAAGAGAAAACCAATAGCACTAAAATACTACTCTCTATGTCTCATTTATACAAGTCGACTTTCCTTATTTTCTTGTCTCAATTATATAGTCACGTTTCTTTATTGAGAATGTTTTGTTTTTTTTTTTTACTAATATATTCTTATTTAATTTGTCTAGTTATACTACTAGTTGTTGATAATTAAATAAAGGTAAACTATGAAAGTTTTTGGCAAAAATTATTTTTTCAATTATATTAAATAAAATTTTTAAATTTGTGTGAAAAACAAAACCAGCCTATATAAATGTAGCGGAAGGAGTATCATGAAAGTGTAATAGCAAACCAAAAAACACAATGTGTTGTTAATTTTTTAAAACGAGTCGATTCTTTTACATTCCAAGCCATACTACATTTTAGTTTAGGATTTCAAATTGCCAAGAGCCAAACAACCAAAATATGATTTTTACTCACCATTGATTGTTGAGAAAAGTCATTACTCCAACATAATAAATTTGAATCAAATTGTAGCGACATATACTCAAGCCATTACTGTGTTTGAAGTAGCTTGAGTAATTGATATACATTATTTGTGTTAAAATCCTCTTAGTTGGTGAGAGCCAACATGAAGATGACCTATCTGTTCCATTGAACTAAATCAATAAAATTTAAATTGTTAGAAATGAAATACTAAGTCATTTAAATATAATCTTATCTGTTCGATAAGATCTACGTTCCTATATTCTATCAAGAATTTTTCCGACAAAACTTGCGAAAAATAGTTGAACGATATAAATTAGTAGTTTTTTAAAATTCTTGCACATCAAGGTGAGCTAAAAAATAGATTAAAGTCAATGACAGACTTGGAACAATTTTTAATATTTAATGTCGTAATAATTTAAGTTACTAAAGCTTGGAGACCACGTCTAGAGTTGTTAATATAGGCCTACTGATAAGCTAGAGAGATTAAAATCATTTCTATTCTCAACCCCTTCAAGGCAGAAAAATGATTCAAAAGACAAAAAATGGAAGAAAGTTTTCACCTAGGAAAGAAGCCACCCCAAGTCCAAATCCAAATCCAAAGCCATGGCCTAATCTTCCTCCCCAACTCATCACCCTAATTGCAATACAACCAAGTCTAATGCGAAAAATTACTGCTTTAGGTGGCACCACCAAGTCATGGAGGGCAGCACCGGCTTGTTATAGGAAGATGGACGACAAACCAAGAATGCCACTGCTTGTTGAAATTTGTTCTGCAGATGACAGAAGGCCACAACATTCTCACAAAATCGAAGTCTCATTTCATGAAAAGTACTTCTTTTTCTACTGCAAAAGAAGATCGTATCAATACCGGGATCGTTGGATATATTTCAAGGGGTATTCCCATGGACAACTAGTGGCTATGAATGGCGATTTATCTGAATGCACTTTATGGGAGCCAGAAGGAAAGTACGATACGCGTTGTCTTCCAAGCTGGGATTGCAATCTTCCCTTTAAGTTTGCCACATTATCATCATCACCGGACGATTGGACTAAATATCCCAAATTACCATCACTACCGAAACATCGCTACAGTTGTAATGTAATGGTGCTAACAGGCATTTGTTCTCCAGCTTTTGCATTCTTCAGATTGGGTAAGGATCAAAAAGGATGGATTGTCGAAAACTGCACACTAACTGAACCTTACGCTTCAAACCAACGTATGCAATTCACTAATGCTATTGGATTTCAAGGAAAATTTTATGCACTGAGCCTGCAGGGAAGTCTAGCAGTTATAGAGGACATTGATTCTTGTTTTCAAATCACAGCTACGGGTGCAAACAGGGCCGTGCCTTCTGTAGTGTCAAGGCAATTTCGGGAGTATTTACTTGAGTCGAATGGAGAAATCTTTTTGGTGTTCCTAATATCGAGAAAATCAATCAATGCAGTGGATGATGTTGAAGTTTTCCGACTTGACATTTGCAAACTATTGTGGGTTAAGGTCGAAAGCCTTGGGGATATGATGTTTTTCGTGGAGAACGAATGCTGTATGAGCCTATCTGCAAGTAAAGTAGGATGCAGGGGCAATTGCATCTATTTTACTCATCATAGAGTCAAGGAATGGTGGGTTTTTGACATGGAAACATGTTGCATCTCATCAACTTCTGGACCTAATATTGAATTTACAAAATACCCAATGCGTATGAACTAATGGAACATTAATATTTTTTTCTTCTTATTTTCTTTCTTAAATTCAACTAAAGTAAAAAAAAAGGAATGACCATTTCAGTTTTTACTCATTTCAACTGATAAGCAGAGAAAAGGCAGCAGTCAAGCAGTTGATACAAACATCCAAGAAAGACATGTACCAAGTCTAATAAATCAGTCGACACTTTCTTAGTCTTCCTGAGCTATTGTAAATCCCGAATCACAAAGAGATATGAGAACGTCCTAGCATTTACGCAATAGATATGCTGTGGAGTTACGTTTAGTTTCTTTTCCTTCTAGTTACTACTAAGAACAAATGGTGAGGATCCATGCTTCATTCAACCAGATGCTAAGGCAGATGTGCATATCCTATATTTTTTATTAGGTCGGAATAAGTTGATAACATCCCTTTTCTACATATCTTGTGTGCTGAAAAGAGGACGAACTCATTCTCCTCTTTTTGGAAGAAGGGGTCGTGGAGAATCTTACTAATGAAACTTTAAAGAAAATAAACCCTGAAGTCATAAATTAAACACTGCTATAAATTATTTCTTTTCATTTTCTGGGCAGCAAGGTGAGTATAAACTAGAGTCAATGACAGACTCGGAACAGTTCCATATAATAAATGTTGTATTGGTTTTAAGTGCTTAACCTTGGAGTCAGTGTCTAGTGCGAAACATCACTGGTTTTGGTGGCACCATGGAGGGAAGCGCCACCGTGTTGTATGTGGTCATACGCCACACTTTGTTGAAACCAGTGATGGCTATGACAAAATGCCACAACATACTCACAATATCGACGTCTCGTTTCATGATAAGCACTTATTTTATCACTACAAAACAAGATCATACCAATACCAGGAAACTTGGTTGGTGGGTATATTTCAAGGGACAACTGGTTGCCATGAGGGCCAATTTCTCTGACTGCGGCTAACTGGTGCCGTCTAAGAAATGTCAGATTTATCTACCACGTTGTGGAGAAACATCAGCAGAAGAAGAAGATAATATTTGTTCATGAATGATTGGGCAAATGGAATCAATTATAAGTTAAAAAGTAAACGTAGCAGATCTACCGAAGGTGAAGTATAGCACTAGCTTTGTTGGAGTTGGACCCGAGTGTTGTACATCCTCAACCTTGTTTAAAAATGCATTCATTTAGAAAGAAATTAACTTACTAACGACTTATCTACACATTTTTCGGTGTAAAAGATAAGAGTTTCGATCCCTTTTTATGATTCATGTTATTAAAGTTTGGAATAATAATTGATTAATAATAATATATTGAAGCATCATTTTTATTAATATCTTATCATCTTCAACTACTATTTAAATGATAATTTGTTAATATTTAATTTTTTTTTCGATATAACACCTATAATAATGGGTAAAGCATCCAGATCACATTGATTTAGTGCCCATCGTTCACCAAGAGAATGGTCAAATACTACGGTTTACATGTACATATTGGATTCTAAATAGAGTTATGTTAAGTGTACATTCCATGGCGTATATCTTTTTTGATATTGTGTGAGAATTCAAAAAAATGTTGTGCAGGAAAGTGTGTGTGTGTTTTTTTAAAACCTGTCAAATCATGTGTCGACACATGACACAATGTCAAATATGATGTAAAACAAGATGTACATGTAGCATGATTGTTATAAATATTAGCACTTTCAATTCTTGCACATCAAGGTGAACTAAAATAAGATTAAAGTCAACGATAGACTCGGAATTTCTTATAATTAATGTTGCAATAATTTAAGTTGCTAAAGCTTGGAGACCACGTCGAGAGTTGTTAATATAGACCTACTGGCTACTGCTTAGCTAGAAAGTTAAAATCATTTCTATCTCCCCACCACCTTCAACGGGGCAGAAAAATGGTTAAAAATACAAAAAAGGCAAGTAAACTTTCACCTGCGAAAGAAGTCACCCCAAGTACAAATGCAAAGCCATGGCCTAATCTTCCTCCTCAACTCATCAGCCTAATTGCAATACAACCAAGTCTAATGCAAAACATCACTGCTTTTGGTGGCATCGCCAAGACATGGAGGGCAGCCCCAGGGTGCTATAGGAAGCTGAACGACAGACCAAGAATGCCACAGTTTGTTGAAATTAGTGCTGCATATGACAAAAGGCCACAACATTCTCACAAAATCGACGTCTCATTTCATGAAAAGTACTTCTATTTCTACTACAAAAGAAGATCGTACCAATACCGGGATCCTTGGATATATTTCAAGGGGTATTCCCATGGACAACTAGTGGCTATGAGTGGCGATTTATCTGAATGCTGTTTATGGGAGCCAGAAGGAAAGTGTACGCGTTATCTTCCACGCTGGGATTGCAATCTTCCCTTTAAGTTTGCCACATTATCGTCATCACCGAAGGATTGGGAGTTCCCCACTAAATATACCAAATTATCATCACTACCGAAGCATCACTATGGTTGTATTGTAATGGTGCTAACAGGCATTTGTTCTCCAGCTTTTGCATTCTTCAGACGGGGTAAGGATCAAAAAGAATGGATTGTCGAAAACTGCACACTAATTGAACCATACGCTTCAAGCCAACGTATGCAATTCACTAATGCTATTGGATTTCAAGGAAAATTTTATGCACTGAGCCTGCAGGGAAGTCTAGCAGTTATAGAAGACATTGATTCTGGTTTTCAAATAACAGCTACTGGTGCAAACAGGACCGTGCCTTCTGTAGTGTCAAGGCAATTCCGGGAGTATTTACTTGAATCGAATGGAGAAATCTTTTTGGTGTTCCTAATATCGAGAAAATCAATCAATGCAGTGGATGATGTTGAAGTTTTCCAACTTGACATTCGCAAACTATTGTGGGTTAAGGTCGAAAGCCTTGGGGATATGATGTTTTTCGTGGAGGACGAATGCTGTATGAGCCTGTCTGCAAGTAAAGTAGGATGCAGGGGCAATTGCATCTATTTTACTCATCGTCGAGTCAAGGATTGGTGGGTTTTTGACATGGAAACATGTTGCATCTCACCAACTTCTGGACCTAGTATTGAATTCACAAAATCCCCAATGTGGGATGAACTAATGGAACAGTAATATGTATTTTCATTTTTTTCTTGTATCTGTCGTCAACTTGTGCATGTTCAATTTCATCTCAACCAAACTTCTTAGTTTTACTCTGTAAAAGTAAAATAAGGAATGACAATTTCAGTTTTTACTCATTTTCACACTGATGAACAGAGAAAGACAGCATTCAAGCAGTTGATATAAACATCCAAGAAAGAAAAGTATTTACTCAAATAAATAAGACACTTTCCCAATCTTTCTGAGCTGTTGGAAATACCAAATCGCGAAGATATGAGAAAAACCTAACATCTACACAATAGATATGACATAGATGTATAGTTCCTTTTCTCTCCCATTCTACTAAGAAACAAGACCTGAAATGGTGAGAATCCGTGCTTCATTCAACCAGATGCTAAGGCTGTAAGGCAGGTGCAAATCCAATGTTTTTCATATTAAGTCGGAATAAGTTGATAACATTAAAGGGACTAACGTTGAACAAGCACACACATCCAGCTGGTGATTGTGCTATATTTGGCACAAATCAATTATGGGAATTATATGGACAGAATATAATCATCAATCGAGCCGGCCCAATCAGAGTCAGAGAACCCATGTGATGAGAGGTCAGAAGAGCTATGAAACACAAGCCCATGTTTAAGAGTGCCTTCATGTAACGAAAAATTTGTTTGACGTCTTGTCAATGGGTGGTGCAGGGACTATGCATGAACTGCAAACTTTGTTGACGTAAAAAGAAATATCAGGGCGAGAGAAGGTAAGAATCAACTATTGGATATTTGCACTTTGATCCCTAAACTCTGGATTTCTTCCATTTTAGCCCTTTTTTTTACGTTTCTTCCAATTTCACTTCAATCACTGAGTTAAATACACGAGATTAATACAAAATATCCTAATTTAATGATTTAGATAAGTGTACCATATACACTTACCAACAATCGCTTAGATATAGAAGTTAAACTGTAATTATGTCTTCAGGGTTAAACGATTCAAATAATAAAGTCAAAACTTTTGTTAGATTGCGAGTTTTTGAAGTATCGGCAATACGCCCTTTAGAAAAGTATAATAGACTGAGGACTTTGACTTTGAGAAAAGAGATGATTTCTTTGATTGACGATTTCCTCCATTTCTTTATATTAATCAATAAATAAAGAAATATGAGAAACAGATGCCAAATAAATAAAGAAATATGAGAAACAGATGCCAAGGCAGATGTGAACATCCAAACTATATGCATCAGCAATCTTAAGAAGCCTCCTCATTTGACTATATCAATCTATTGCCAACTATGGTCTTATACTAGAGCCGATTTTAATGGTTTTAAGAACCCGAAATATAAATTTTAACTTATGTACGTCCAATTTCAGCTCAATCAAACTTGTGCAAGTGAAAAGGAATGACCATTTCAGCGTCTTCTAGATGCTTTCGAAAAAATAACTTCGGCACGTCAAAGGAATAATCAATAAAAGATTCAAGCACGGCAAACGACTCAAATGTTTTGAATACGTCAAGGTTAAGACCCTAGAAGGAAACATCGACTGCTATACATAATGTAAGTGCAGATAGAGATTAAAGAGTACCTCACAGCTGATTTGAAATAGTAAACCAGATGTAAAATGGTGAGAATCAATGCTGAAATCAACCAGATGCTAGGACAGATGTGCATATTAAAATTGCTTACTAAAAACAAGAACAAATAAAAGACTAACCATAATTTTAAAAAGAATACAGAGTTGATTCCTATGAGTTTAAGCATCTAAAAAATTCGAAGGATAAACAAATAGTACTCAGTATGTGTAAAGAAGCGCCGCAGATGGACTAGAAGCTGCAGAAGACGTGGTTATGTTTGAAGAATTGGTGCTGTAACCATAGCTCCGAGATTGATGTTCATTACTCCCTTGCGCTGTTGAACCCATGTTAGTTATAGGAGGGAAATATGTTGGCACTGGCATCATTGAGGGAAGTATGGGCAACTCTGCCTCAAAATTAAGGACATGGATAGCTTGCCTTATTGATGGCCGGTGTTTATCGTCTGGATGAACACACCATAGCCCAACAACCATCAAGTATTCCATTTCTCGAGCATCAAATTTTGCACATAGTTTTGGATCTGCTGCATCGAGTAGTTTTCCCTTTCCGTAGAGGTTCCAAACCCATTCCACCATTCTTACTTGATCTTCTCGTAATCTTGTATCGATTGGTCTTCTTCCACATGCTATTTCCAGTAATACAACTCCAAAGCTGTAGACATCAGATTCTTTGCTAGCCCTGCCAGTTATGACACATTCGGGAGCCATGTATCCCATTGTCCCAGCAAGCATTGTTGTTTGGGATCCTTTTTCGTGATCAACAAGTCTAGCTAATCCAAAATCACCGAGTTTCGCCTTGAAGTTGGAATCCAGCATAACATTGCTAGATTTTATATCCCTGTGCACAACACATTGCTCCCACTCTTCGTGTAGATAAAGCAAAGCCGAGGCCAAACCTTGGGCAATTTTGTACCTTACTTCCCATGGCAAAAGTGATTTTTCTTTGAATAGATGGAAATCTAAGCTGCCATTTGGCATGAACTCGTAAACAAGTAGGAATTCTCCTCTTTCATGGCACCAACCGATGAGTTGCACAAGATTTTTGTGCCTCAATAGGCTGATAATCTTCACCTCTGATGCATACTCTTTTATTCCTTGCTTAGATCCCTTCGCTACCCTCTTGACAGCAATATGGAAATTAAGTTCTCTCAAGAAACCTCTATAAACTCCACCAAACCCCCCTTCTCCAAGCTTATCCTCCTCTGAAAAGTTGTTTGTCGCCAAAGCCAATTCGTCGTATGAAAACCTTTTAGGGCCACTGCCCTTTTCGAATTCATTGTCCATAGACAGATCATGAAAATGCTCATTCCCTTTTTGCTTCTTATACTTTCTCCACAACAAATAGCCCGCCAAACCCAAAGCAAGAACCAGAATTGACACTCCAGTGCTCAATCCGACAATCAGTCCCCTATTATTTTTCTTTCCACCAGTGGTGACAACGTTGGAATCTGGTTGTGGTTGTGGGCTCGGAGTTGGAACTTTCGAGATAACAACATCAAGTGGTAAACTCGAAAACTGCCATGACTTAACATTGTTTTTCTCAAACAAAGCTCCCGTTGCAGCTGAAAAGCCAAAAGTAACAAATTCTGGCAAGTAATCCCTCAGATCTACCACAAAACTGAGGTTTTGAATTTGACTTCTATTATTTGAAAAACTCGTAAAAGCAACACTGAGAGTCTTCAAACTAGCATTATAACTAATCCAGGCATCATTTTGCATCCCTTGACGAATACCATTCAACCAAGTTGTGTTCGCAACAGATTTCATAGTATTAACGTTAATACCTACATGAGTACCCGGCGGATCATAATAATTCGTGTAAGTATCAAACTCCACTGCAACAAATTGGCCTGGTTGCAGATTACTTGCAAGGCCAAGGCCACCACCAGCAGCTCCGTCTGGTGTACTAAAATTAGTTGGAGCCAAGAAAAACGCAAGCCCATCAGCAAACGCAGAATTCCCACCTGAATCAATTACAAAAGAGAAATGGGTTGAAAAATCAGTCAAGTTCCCAGAATTCTTGTCCCACAAATGCAGTGGGTCGACGTAGGTGGCCCGACCTGCTTTCCTGTCCAACGCCATGTTTCGCTCATCTGGTGTGACTTGAATACCTTGTGTTGATATATAAGCAGACCCTGAGGTATTGATGTTTCGATTGGCATCATTGGTACCAATCGCCGAAAGATCGAAGTCCAATGAAAATGTACGAGGGAAGTGGAGGAGGAAGAAAAGGGGGAGGATTGAAAACTTGCACATAGCCATGGCTAAGAATTTGATTGTAAATATTTGTAAAAATATAGAACAGATGTTGAAAAAGTGTTGCAACTGCATGCCTTTCATTCTCAAGAATCGGTCAGTCTTCTCTGCAAAGATAAAAAATTGTTCAAATTAAGACGGCTAAAACGTCTTACGCAATCTGAAACAAGATGCTTGACTATGAATCTTGACTTTCTCTAGCTACTGTTTTCTTCATTCCATTATTGACTTGGGCTCCAACGCATGGCCGAATGTGAGACGAGGCAGGTCAGATCTTGGCTTAGCTGCATGTATTGAATTGAGACATTTTTAAGTGGGTGAAAATTATGGACTTTTAAATTATTTCTATGAATTTGTCAAGAATTAGTAATAGCCTTCCACGAACATTTGTAAACTTTGATTAAAAATTTTTAAAGACTTTTCATCTTAGAAATTTATAGTATACTTGAAAATTACAATATTTCTAACTAGCTTATAAACATTTTCGAGAATCATGATGTCCACAAAATTTTCTTGAGCAAAGTCACTAGTCACGATCCAATCATTTAATTTTGGCGTAAATAAAATAATAAAAAACTTTTACATCAATTTCTAAAAACATAATTAAATACAAATTACAGGACGGTGTCTGCTGCGGTGTCTGTATTATGAAACTTTGACCTAATAAACATTTTCGAGAATCATGATGTCCACAAAATTTTCTTGAGCAAAGTCACTAGTCACGATCCAATCATTTAATTTTGGCGTAAATAAAATAATAAAAAACTTTTACATCAATTTCTAAAAACATAATTAAATTTTTTTTTACGAGATTAACATAAATTCTAAGAACACATTGTTCTTAACCCAAATATATATATATTACATGAAATTCTACATTTTCAAACAATTGCATAAAATTTCAATTTAAAAGTAATTATGTACATATAGAATAATCATAAATTGATTACAACAAATGAATTGTAGAGATATGAGAAAATCCTAGAATTGAAAGAAAAAACGTTTTTTTTTTTTTTGGCTCTAAAATTTTCACAAATCGCAGAGTATATGATAGATTTTTTTTTTTAGATTTGCTTTTTATAATTTTCGCCAAAAAGTCTCCAGAAGTCTAGTAAGTAGAAAATTCTCCAAAAGTCATGATTTATTTGAATATCTCATGACTTATAGAGATTTCTAAAAAATTTTAATTGAATACCCATAACTTTTAATTTTTTTTTAAAAAAGTCTATAGAAATCGCAATTAAATACACTTAAACTTTTAGAAAGTCTTTAAATATTTCAATTGAATATACCTAAACTATTTAAATCCTCCAAAGTTTTTAAAAATTTCAAATGAATACACCTCCCTTAATGCCCCAACTCAAGGGATCGATAAATTCTTGTATTTATAGGGTAATTAACACACAACGTTCCTACTTTTCACTACTATGGTGCAAAACATCCATACTTTCAACTTTTTGGTATTTTCATCCGTATTTATACATTTAATTGCGCAAATGTCATTTTCATTCATTTCCATCCAATTTATCCATTAAGTGAACATTTTCACCCTTTCTTCGTTTGAGCAGTCAATTTTATTTTATTTTTTTTCAAAATGAAAGGGTTTTATCTTCTTAAAACACCCTTTCATCAACTAAGACCACAAATTGAGTTCCAACTCTTCATCGACCACAAATGGAGTTTCAATTCTTAAAATGATAAAACTGAAGGTTAATCACTGAATTTTTGGACAACTTCCAGACTTTGGACATATTCCATTCAAAAGTCCATGTGTTGCACATTTTTGCATAAGATTGGTTGCAGAAAATAGAAGATTTTGAAACCACACAGAACATTTTGAAAGGTTTACATGCGAAACAGAGATTAGTTTCTCATTGTGACATTTTTCGGTTTCTTAGGTTGGTTTTGCAATTGCATCATTCCTGTGAACTTTAACTCAACGAAAGCAGAGGCAGCTTAAAATTGAAGACAAGGCTTGTGAAGGGGAGATGAAAAAATTGAGAGGCCATTCGAATAGATTCATATCGTCTCCATCATGTTCTCTGTTAGGAATATTGGGCCTAACTCCACCTAATAAAACCGGCTTATTAGGGGAGGATTGCCCTCACCTTATAAAGTGGATCATTTATATTTTCCCAAGCAATGTGGGATTCTAATACACCCTCTCACGCACAGCGTGGACCATGCCAAACAACTGTGAACAAATCGATATTGGGTGACACCCAACATTGCATAATTGGGCCTAACTCTGATACCATGTTAGGAATATTTGGTCTAACTCCACCTAATAAAACCGGCTTATTAGGGGAGGATTGCCCTCACCTTATAAAGTGGATCATTTATATTTTCCCAAACAATGTGGGATTCTAATATTCTCCGCCTCTCTCGAAACCACAGCCAGTCGAAGCAGAAGCTATTTGCCTGAGTTCTTCACCCCTAGATTTCTGGTTCCTACTCCAAGATGCTTAGAAGCTAAATTTTCGTTGATGAAGAATTGGAACTTTATTTGTAGTCTCAGTTGATGAAGAGAGGGAAAAAATGCTTTGAGATGATAAAACCCTTTCATTTTGAAAAACAGAAAAAAGAAAAAAAATTGACTGCATGCATTCACTTAGCCCATTGTTTTAAAATTCTTTTTAGTACCGATTATTTTCAACCACACATTCACACATTAAAATATTTTGTACGTAGACTCAAAATCTCCTCCTCTTTTTTAACCACATATTTTCTTAAAAATATTATTCAAAATCCAAATAATGTGGGATTCTAATATTCTCCGCCTCTCTTGAAACCACAGCCAGTCGAAGCAGAAGCTGTTTGCCTGAGTTCTTCACCCCTAGATTTCTGGTTCCTACTCCAAGATGCTTAGAAGTTAAATTTTCGTTGATGAAGAATTGGAACTTTATTTGTAGTCTCAGTTGATGAAGAGAGGGAAAAAATGCTTTGAGATGATAAAACCCTTTCATTTTGAAAAAAAAAAAAAGAAAAAAATTTTGACTGCATGCATTCACTTAGCCCATTGTTTTAAAATTCTTTTTAGTACCGATTATTTTCAACCACACATTCACACATTAAAATATTTTGTACGTAAACTCAAAATCTCCTCCTCTTTTTTAACCACATGTTTTCTTAAAAATATTATTCAAAACTCTTTTTTTTTTTTTTTGAAATTATGGGCACCATGTTCGTGAATTCCGCAAGTGTACAGATCGTGACACGTAATAAATAAAATAACCAACTCAAATTAAAACTGTAGATAAGATTATGTGATTGGATAGTTAGGATTTCCGATTATTTATCATACATTTAATTCTAATTCATTCAACAATTTTTCATACTGTCAACGATTGAATTAACCTGATATAGTTAGAGATCTGTCTCGAGCAACATTAATCTTATTCATATGGCTGAACTTACTATATCTCTATGTAAAAATTCACACATATATGAATGCATTTATCTATAAGAATTCAACATGGATCGCATAAGTTATAATTATCTATTGATATCTTATAATGTCTATGTTAATTATTGCACGAGTAATAATTATACATCATCTTTATGTTTCAGTATTATCCCTAAATTAATTAATTGTTCCGCAAACAATTAAAACATTAAACACACAATAATTAATTAACAAATATCAAAATAGCATGAAAATCTTGTGATAGAAGTTTTTGAAATTTGTGGTTGAAAAGATGTAAGACCCATGAAATGCGTGGTTGATATTAATTATTTAACTTTGACTTAAATTAAAATCATATTAAAATTTAACCCAAACAAGCCATTAATCTCCTTTTACTTCTTCCTGCCGGTGCGTGTTGTGTGTATATATATTAATCAATTGATGCCCAAAAACTTGTTCCAAAAGCTGCCGGCTTTTGCCTGAAAATAATATATTTTCAGGGGATAATTGTAGCAGCGGTCCCAAACCTATCACTTTTTTGCAGGCTTTGGCTTAACCTTCACTTTGTGCCACCCACAGTCTCAAAACTTTCAAAAATTAGCACCTATGGTCCAAATGGATAATTTCTGTTAGTTTGACCATTAGTTGACCAAGAATAATAGACTTTGACCAATTTTGACAAAATTAAAAGGGCAAAATGGTAACTATACAATTTTCTTATTAAATAAAAAAAGAAAAAAAACAAAAAACATCTCTCTTCCCTTCCCAGGCAACACTGCCGACATATTGCTAGCACCACAACCGCCTCTGTGTCGGCATCACCACACCCATCTCCTTCCCCAACCCAATTCTTACCAATTTCCCCCCAAAATGCCACCACCACAACAAAACCAAAACAAAACACCTAAATCTACAATTTTCTCAAATATCTAAGTCTCTGTACCGAAGCAAACCACCATTGCCTCTGTGCCGATTTGAATTTTCAAGTCTTGAACAACCACGCTCAATAACCAACTAATGCATTTGGAAAAGGCGTCCACGACTGACTCGGGGTTAAACCCAGATGAACGTATAGGAATTTCGATGTGAGTGAAACGAGTAGATGAAACCTGGGGCGATTCTCGCCTCTAGTGAGTAGCTGCGGTGATGGCTGTGTTGTTGGTTTGAACACTGTTATCTTGACCGTCAAATAGTAAAATAATGCTTGCAACTGGGTTCTTATGCCACCGAGTCGTCATTCTCCTCAGCGGCATGAGCCTATACCCGTACGTCACGCTCGGTCCAGAACTTGGGTCTGTATGGCAGAAGCAGTGCATGGGCTTTAACCTTCAAAACGACAACGTACGTCTAGTGGGTTTGGGTACATTCGTGCCAATATTTGAGAAAATTGTGGATTTTGGTGTGATGTTTTGGTTTGATTGTGGTGGTGGCGTTTTGGGGGAAATTGGATAGAGTGGGGTTGGGGAAGGAGATGGCGGTGGTGGTGCCGACAATATGTCAACAGTGTTGCTTGGGGAAGGGAAGGGAAGGTAGGTGTTTTTTATTATTACCCCAAGTGCTACTTTTTGAAAGTTTTGGGATTGTGGGTAGTATAAAGTGA